CTAATTAAACGAGAATGTTTGGTGAGAAAGATCAAACTCTAAATTGTTAATTTTGATGGGAAAGTTAGTAGCACAATTAGGATTGGAGCCTCAAAGGCAAGCGGAGCTAGGGCTACGTGAAGATAGCTCCAGGTTTGACATCCGAGAGGTAGGATATTCTTGTCCATATCCTTGTTAGCCTTACTTTAAATGATTTTAGCAAATGAAACTGTTTTAGAATAAAACATGTTTAAAGAAAATGATTTTAAAGAAATAGCATGAGAATGCTATTAAGTTTTCCAATGATTTTAGAAATGAGATTTTAAAGAGTATCATTTCTTAAAATGAAATATTTTAAGGAATGATATAACGCATGGTGGCCTTAGAGATCGGGATGTGGGAATCGCATCCTTGGGGGCAGGTCCCGAAACCCGTATGGATCCACTTCTTGTTTAGTGAAATTATGACTCTGCACTTTTCATTAGACAGACATTTTTATCACTTCTTGTTTAGTGGTATGATGAGCTGCACACTTTCATGATACATACATTTTCTACTATGTGAGTATTTTCTTTTCTAAAAATGGATGACCGGTTCCGGGTGTATATCTTCAGACCGTGAGTACCTTTATTTTAAATGCTTTATAAAATTATATCCTATTGGGCCTTTCACTCACTTTTCTTGTTTTCAAATATATTAAACCCCTCCAGGCGATGCGAGGAGTAGTGCGGAGTAGGTAGCTACTACCGGTGACGTGGACTTGATCTCGGGAAGCGAAGAGTTGTATTTCCTCTTATCTTTTATTTCAAGGCATGTATAAAAGATTATGGATTGTAAACTTAAATATTACTAGACTGTGGTTGATTTCACATTTATTTTTGTTTATATTCATGTATGCTAAACACCTGTGGAAATTCCTGACTTGATACCAGAGACGTGGTTTTAAACTGATTTGGTTGGAAATTCTGTTGAAAAATTTGGAATTGGGAGGATGAAAAGAATAGAGAAAGCAGAAAGAGGGTTTGAGGCATATAGGAATACTAAGGTTTTATTTGTCCTCACTTCTCAAAGTTTGCTAATGAGTTTTAAATGGCAAATTACCCCCAAGATACAACAAATCCTTGAACACAATATCCAGCAAAAAATATTGAGTTCCAGAATAATAATCAATTTGTATTTTCTGAAGTCCATCAAATAAAGACAAGGATGCATCCATCCTCTTTAAGTGTTACAACCTTTCACATAAAGATACCTTTTCAATTTGAAGGTTATCTTTTATATGCTGATGCACTTATATCAATAGTTATTTCTATTGTTAATAAGTGCTCAGATATGTGAGAAAATATATCACAAATAGATGCAATGATTCGAGACCTTTTCATATCACTAAAACACATGAAAACACATTTTCCGTTAACAATTTACGCTGCAGCGGATGACATTCACGCTGCAGCGCTCGGGCTACGCAAAACAGACTCGAGAGGTTTGTTTTGCGCAGGCTGCAATGCCCAAGCGCGCTGCAGCGCGCGCTTGTGCCAGCCCATTCTTCCCGAATGTGTTTTAAGCCAATTTTTGTGATATCAAAATTGAGAGATATATTACAATCTCTCTAACAAATTCTACCACCCTTCTCGAAATTTAATTTCTCCTGAATGCAGGGGGCTTGTTTGGAAATACCTGGATGTTTTGGATTTGAAAAATTAAAATATTTACAACGTTATTTGCTAATCACTCTCTTAAACAGGTTTAAGTTTCTAAACAAGCCTCTACGTCACTAACCCCGATTTGGGGGCGTGACAATTAGTGTTGGAAAAATGGATTGATAAGCTATGTTAAAAGCCCATTTTAAAATGGGGCCTAATTAGATTTTGGGACGGATTTCGATGGATTTGCATTTTCCGTCGCAATGAGATTGAAATCAGATATTCATACACTCAAAATGGATATTGGGTGAATGAGAAATTTATGCTTTAAGAATGCTACTTGAAATGGTTAAGTTGGTTTAGAAATTGCAAAATCTCATATTGGCTAGGAATGAAATCTTGGTGGTGTTTATAAGTGATTGCACTTTGAAGCTTAGGTAAGCATGTATACCAGAGAGACACTCTCACGCGCAGGGAGGTGCAGATTATGGACCCGGCGGGTGCGGAGCCCAATGTGTGCGCCCATGCAACTTGCGAACGCGAATGCTGTACCGAAAAGCTCATTCCGTGCGGGCCTTGTTTTGCAATTTTATTTTATTTTTTGCCAGCCAAAACTGAACTTAATAACCATAACAAAGTAATGGGACTTAATGAAGGAAAAAACCGAATTAGGCTTGATGGATAGCTTAATGACTTCGGTTTTTTTATAAAAAATCCGAACTTTGGTGTAGAAAGGTGGCCGGATTCATCCTGAGGAGATTGAATGGTATTAGCCCCGTAATAATGTGTGTTTAATTCTCATTAATCCATGTTTTGTAACATTCTTGATCAAGGGCCTATATAAAGAGTTCTCCACATGAAGAAAAACACACAACACACACATTCTTCTCCTCCCATGTTTTCTCTCTTCTCCTCGAGCTCCTCTCTTGCAATTCTTTGTAGCGTGTTTTTGGTGATAGAGGAAATGTACAGTTCTAATTTGCTGAGACGGTTATGATAGTGCGTCATTATACCGTCGTTGTATCCTGAGAAACGGACGTCTAACGTTACCTCAAGCACTCGCCGGAGGAGAAGAATTTGTTTTAAGGAAAGTGTGATTCACGTACCTCGACATCATCCGTTCTATTCAGTTTTTTCAAGTTTGGTAGAAGATTGAATTTGCGTTGTAACAATTTTTATATTTTGTTTTTGTAATAAGTTATTATATATTGTTTTTATTTCTATTATTATTGCTAACAGTTACTTTTGCTAATTGTTCGAAAAATACTGAAACCATTTCTATTCCTGTTGTCTCAAGAAATGACAATAAGTAATAAAATAATATAAAATTTATCTCCATTTATGTTACGTCTTAAAGTAATCTTTGCAAGTATAAAATGCGCCCATTAATCTTTTCCATCATATTCAAAGACCTTTTTTAAGTCACGTTGAAATATCGATCAAGTTTTTCTAATTTAAAACTTTCCAGCTGATTAGTGATGCTAATGTGCTATCTCCTTCTCCAATAATGCTACACGTTGTCGGAGAGAGATTCATGGTCTATATATATATATATATGCATTTTTTAGGGAAATATAAAGTTTCATTTATGAAGGTTAAAGGTTTATGATTAAATTTGGCAGCATCGATCAGTGAAAAAAAAAAAAAAGAAAAAAAAAAGGGGCTTGAAGAATGTAGAACCCACACACACATATAGGGAAAGCAAAAAAAAAAAAAAAAAAAAAAAAAAAAAAAAAACCCCAATATTGGAATTGTAGGACCCATCCCATATTGAATAAATCCACCAATTTCACGTTGGTTGGCCTAGTTGAGCTTGAGCTAGCTGTAAACTTATATATATATATATATATATATATACTTGATTTTAGTTTTTAAAAAACTGCTACATTTTCCATGCATGTTTCAATTGAATTCTCTGTGAACCATCTTCTCCTTACTAATTAATAATCAATTCACGAGCTCAAGATGATTGCTTGATTCTCAAAGCTTTGAAAAATGTGTACTCGTATTCGTATATTTTACTGGGAAGACATCGATGCAAAGCTGGCCGATGATACGTGAGAATCGAGATATATACTCGTTTGTTATGTCCACAAATAATGATTGATATTCCAATAATTTTCACTGATATAATTGAGGTTTTTTTCCCCCTATCTATGGAATGTGGTCCATTTGGATAGAGTAATGATATTTGACTAGTTAGATTCGTTTCCTCTAAAATATTAGCATGTTTCATGAATAATTTGAAAAAATATCATATACATTTTTCAGAAAATGTCATCGCAAGACAATATCATTTTTAATTAAAATTTGCGATGGATATGAAAAAAAAATCATATCATATTTTATTGATAGAATACAATATTTATTTATTAGATCATATCACAATAATATTGTATTAAAAACTATGATTATTTAATAAAATTTTAAGCTCTGATGGTTTAAAATTATGTTTATTTTTTTTCATACCTTGCCACAATATATAAAAAAAAACTAATACGACAAAATTATGAACTATGAAATCACATTAGAATTTAAAGATTAATAAAGTATAACAAATTAGCACAAGTTAATGAAAATTTAAATAATAAAAATCCTATATTATTAACATGCAATTTTTCATAGCCTATCCTTTCTCCATTATCATTATCAACACATTTAGAAAAGAAAAGTACTCTTTTTTGGTCAAAAAGGAAATTTTCGTCATTGGATAAATAGCCTAATAGTTATTCTACTCCTAATTTTACAACGAAATGTAGAATTTAAATCCTAATCCAAATTCAAAAGGAAAATTATTTTTGGAAGTTTCTGTAGAGTTTAAAAAAGTAAACTACTGCTAAATTTTTATTTTGAACAATCTATTTATATTAAAAATTATTTATTACACGCAATTTTGACGGGGTTTTGATCATTTTCTATGGTCAAAATCTTACCCTACCAGCAAAGCACTCTTTTTTTTTTTTTTTTGCTTGAAAAAAATTATTAGTGTTTTATATTTTTTTCTCATGAAAAGTACTTGTTAAAATGGGATGAGTGAGCTGTGAGCTACAACATTCAACGTACTTGTTAACGTAGGATGTGTGAGCTGTGAGGTATAAATTAACAATAAAATAATGTTTTGAAGCTTCAAAAGAGGCAAGCCAGCTGAAAGCAAAAAGAGCCGAGCCGAGCCGAGCCATGTCGACGGATTGGGATGGAAGTCGGAAGAGGAATGGACAAAATTCAGAGACGAAACCCAAACCAAAATCAAATGGCAGGGAGAGAGAGAGAGAGAGAGAGCAAACAAAAAACAGAGCATTAAAATGAAGCGTAGAGGCTTTAACATTAAAGAGGCGGTGGGGACCCAGAGGACCAGCCAACTATTTATTGCATTTCTTTCTTCCCACCTTCCTTGGATAGATATATACTTCTGGCCTACATATTGTGATAAGCTTCTCAATCTTAACCCTCTTTGTCCATTCCAATACAACCAAACTTATCAGACACTCTCTCAAAAGCTTTTCCCAGTCAACTTGCTCTCTCTCTCTCTCTCTCCTCTGGGAAAGTTCTCTTGCAGTTTCTTAGCAACCAGACAAACACTAAAAAAACGGAAACCCATCTCCCTTTTCTTCTCAAGTTCCTTTCTTATCTATCTGATTCTGCACTTTGGATTTAGAGGAGGTTGGTTTTCATCTTCTTCTTTCTTTTTCTTTTCTCCTTCATGGGCATTTTTCAGCTTTTTCCTTTTTTTTTGGATTAAACTCTGAATTTTTGCGAGCTCATGTTGCAGTTAAAAGCAAACAATTGTAAAGGTTACCTTTTTATTATTATTATTATTTTGGTGGAACCGAGCTTTTTTCTTTTTAAAAAAACATTTTTTTTGTGCTTTCAGATCTGTGCTCAGAGGTTGCCTTTTTTTGGGTTCATTTCATGGTTGGTCAGGTCTGACTGAGGCTCCAATGTTTGTGGATCTTATAGAAAGGAAGAAATTTTGTGAGGCAATATAGTTGGTTTGTTGTTCTGAGAGTGGATTTCCCATGGGGATTTGCTTAAGCGCCCAAATCAAAGCTGAGAGCCAAGGTATCCATACGTGACTTAAAACACCCACTTGCTGAATTTAGATATTTTATTGTATTAATGGGAGTTAAATCTTCTTTTGGAAAATCAAAATTTCTGTAAAAAAGTTTAAGCTCTCTCTTTCAGAGATTTGGGAAATTAAGTTTGATGTTTATCCAAATATATTAAAAGATGTTCAATTCAAAAGTGTTGATTGGTTCGACCATTTGTTTAGCCCTGTTGGTAGGTTTAGTTTGTTGAGAAATTTGTTCTTTAGGAATACTCTGTGAAACTTGATTTATCTTTTAAAAAAGGTCAGTGTTTTCTTTTCTTCCCTTTCCTTATGCTGCTTGTTGTTTGTGGTGGATGATGACATAAATTGCACGGAAAAGGAAATAACATTTCAGTAGTCCCCCTGTTTTAGCTTATTTGATTACATAATTAATAAGCTCATTTCCTTTCCATTCATATGATAAATGCAAGACAACTTACCTTTGATCTTATTTAAAGTGCAAACTGCAAAACTACCTTTGAACATTTGCCAAAGAGCTACTGTTGAATGTTGAATTTTATACTTGATTTTATGCTGTGCAGGGCTGAATTCGAAATATGTTAGCACGGATGGGAATCTGAGCAGTACAAGCAGTAAGGTGTCATCAGTTTCTGTTCCTCCAACTCCGAGGAGTGAGGGCGAGATATTGCAATCCTCCAATTTGAAGAGCTTCTGTTTTGCTGACCTCAGAATGGCCACAAGGAATTTCCGGCCGGATAGTGTCTTGGGAGAAGGCGGTTTTGGTTCGGTGTTTAAGGGGTGGATTGATGAGAATTCTTTTGCTGCTACAAAGCCTGGGACAGGCATGGTTATTGCAGTAAAAAGGCTTAACCAGGACGGATTTCAGGGCCACAAAGAGTGGTTGGTGAGTTAAGCTTCTCCTCATTTTCGAATCTTCTGCATAGATAAATGAACCAGCTCAATGTTGTATTTTGTGGTCCTTTGGAACTTCTAGTTAAGGCTAGTGTATGCACAAAACAAAGCTTTCTATTTCTTAAGTATGATAGTTGATGAAATGTTGACTTTTAACCTTTTCCTTATTTTTATTTTTTTACAGGCAGAAGTCAATTACTTGGGGCAGCTTTATCATCCTCATCTCGTGAAGTTGATTGGTTATTGCTTGGAAGATGAGCACCGGCTCTTGGTGTATGAATTCATGCCTAGAGGGAGCTTGGAGAATCATTTGTTCAGGAGTAAGTTCCACTGCCCATATCTCTTTGATCTCTACTAATGAAAAAAAAAATGATTTCTGATTATTGGATAGTAATTGACCGCTTTAGACTGTTTCTATATCAGGGGGTTCTTATTTTCAGCCTCTTTCTTGGTGTCTTCGTCTAAAGGTTGCTCTCGGGGCTGCAAAGGGCCTTGCTTTCCTTCACAGTGCCGAGACTAAAGTGATATACCGCGATTTCAAGACGTCTAATGTACTTCTTGATTCGGTATGTGTTTCATGAAACATATAGTTTTATTTTACGTATTCTGTTGTAATGAGTTTGAACTGAGAAACAAGCTGTTCTTAAAAACCTTTTTGTTTTTTGTTTTTTTTTGCTTCTCTTTTTGTGATATGATTGCAGAACTATAATGCAAAACTTTCAGATTTTGGGTTGGCCAAGGATGGGCCAACGGGTGACAAAAGTCATGTGTCCACCAGGGTAATGGGGACTTATGGATATGCAGCACCAGAATATCTTGCCACTGGTGACAACTTTTCTATTTATCCTAATCAAGTGCTTATAATTAACTTTTCTATTTATCCTAATCAAGTGCTTATAATTTCAGTACATATTAAAATCGATTAACGCAATAAAATTTTTCTAACAATCTCTTTCACTGTCTGAAGGTCACCTTACTGCAAGGAGTGATGTCTTCAGTTTCGGAGTTGTGTTATTAGAAATGTTATCTGGCAGGAGAGCAGTTGACAAGAACCGGCCATCGGGAGAGCACAATTTGGTGGAGTGGGCTAAATCATATATGGCAAATAAACGCAAGATCTTCCGGATTTTAGACAACCGCCTTGAAGGCCAGTATTCGATGGATGTCGCCTATAAGGCAGCTACACTTGCTCTCCGCTGTCTATCGACGGAGCCGAAGTTCAGGCCAAACATGGAAGAGGTCGTAACAGTCTTGGAGCAGCTCCAGGATTCCAACGAACCTAACAACCGCAGAAATTCAGGCAATGCCCCCAGGCCAAGGACTCGCAGACGAAGTGCTGATGAGGCTCTCACTAGGAGGAGCGTGGGTTCTTATCCTCGGCCGTCTGCTTCCCCACTTTATGTTTAGAAATGAAAATCTTAAGAATTTGACAAGATCCTGCCTTTTTCCTTTCTCAAGTGAAAGAAAAAACAAGAGACGAAAGTTAAAAAGAAGCTGGTTTGCAAAAACATCTCATGAACTCCCACATACACACCTATATTTTGTTTTGTGACTGTACAGTTTCTCATATCTCGGCTAATGCAATCAAATATCAACCTCCTGTGGACAATTTCCGGTAAAGTTGTAAGTTGTAACATAAGCAATGCTCACAATGTTGTACCTTTTGTTTTTTTTTTTTGGGGGGATTTTTGCCAAATTGTTTGTAGTAACTGGAAGCAGCTTGGAACATTTAACTTGCAATTGTTTTGTGTCTTCACTATTGTAGTTCCCTTATTTATTTTTTTTCAGCCTGGGGTAACATATTTACCACTTTATTTTTTCGTTTAGATGGGTTCTATCCTCCCTTTTATGCACTAGTTTATTGTGATGTTGAACTTGTTTAGACCAAAGAACAAAGGAAAAGTAAGTGCCAATATATTAAAGAGGACTTTTTTTTTTCTTTTTTCTTTTTGGCAACTGTTGTTTGGTTTGCTGGAAAAATTGATTCCCTTGTCATCATGGGGTATAGTCAAATTTAATGGGCAATGGCAATCATGGTACAAGCCGTATTTGTTTTTTTTTTTGCCGGAAAGCCAGGGGTGATGTTGTACAACTGTAAATAAAAGTTAAGAATCCGTTTAATTTATACGTTGAAATCAGTGAATTTTAACATTTAAAATTTAATTTTTTTTAAAAAAAACATGGAACAGAATTAAAATTTTTAATTCTAAATTTAAACGTAACAAATAAATTGAGTGTTAAGAGATCATTAGAGCTTAAATTTAAACGTAACACGAGTCTTAAGAGATCATTAGGGCATCGTTGCGGATTCGAATTGAGATGTGACATTTTTTTAAAATTTTTTATTGTAACAGAAAAAGTTAGATGTGACATTTTTTAAGAATTTTTTATTGTAAAAATTTAAAACTGAAAATTCGAATAGGTGAAATGAACGAGATCTAAAGCTTTAAGAGGTGCATAAGAGGCACACGTGGACGCATGCGCTGTGATTTGAATTAATGGAACTTTTATGCCTTTTTCCCATTTGTAAAGTGGTATGCAATCAAAAAGAGGTTTGAAGATTGCCACATTAAACACTCCCAAATCCCAATATCAATATTGGTTGCGTCATGGGTCCCCAGCACTTCTGTTAATGGTTTCTTGCAAAGTGACTCGCTTTTGGAACAGCTCAGCCAGCACCCATCTGATCAACCATGGAAAAGAGATGGCCATTTGTGATTTTTATTTGATTACTATTACTATTTCAGACTACTATCAATGGAAAGCTTTGTTTTTATTTTTTAATTTTATTTCATTTTTAAAGTTCAGTACCCTTAAAATAACACACACACACACACACTCCCATAACTAAAACGCACCTTTTTAGTTGCACATTAGTCCCAAAAGCACGTGCACTTGAATTTAGAGGAAAAGGAGACAAAACAAGGGTTCATTTGTTAGGAGGGATCGAAAGGATTGGAGGGATGTAGAATGTGAAGGATGAAAATGATTAGTAATGTTATTTGGTAGGAAAGAGGAGAGTTGAAAGGATATGTGATAATTTTTTTATTTAATTACTATATTATCCACTTTATCATTTGTTAAGAATTATTTATGAAGGGTAAAAAAGTCATTTTCTTTTAATTTTAGGTGGATTGGTAAAATTGATGGAATGATCTAAAATTGTAGGTCTAGAGAGTCTCTCTCTTCTCCTCTCCTCTCTCCTCTCTCTCCTCTCTCTCCTCTTCTCCTTACCAAACAAGAGATTCACCCGCCTTCCACCCCTCTTCATCCCTCTATCAATGAGCCCAAGTTTAGAGCCTTTTTATCCATATCTCCTCTATCTCTTCTCATCCATCCAACCAAACAATGAAATTGTCATATTCCCTCACCTCTCTCCCTCCACCCCTCTCCGTCCCTCCATCTCTCCCTCCTCCCAAACACTCTTAGAATGCACGAGTATAAACTTATATCCCTTACTCTTGATTAATATCTTTTTTAATCAAATAATTATATTATTTAAAATGGTATTAATCAAAAGTAAGAAAAAAATCCAAACAATGCACTTTTAAGGACAAGTTCAATAATTTTCTCTTAAAAAATTATGTTTACAAGGTTGTCACCTAAATTCTATCTAGTCGAGTCCATATGGGGGGAAAAATCCATATTCAACAAAGAACTGAAAATTTCTGTCTACTTTTCTTTATACTACAATACCGCCATTTCTGGCGAGTATCAATACGTCGAAAGAGCATCTATTTAACTTTTGTTTAGGTCAAGGAAATGAGATGTAGGTATGTAACTATGAAATGATGGGCTGCCAGCGCGTCCAAGGCAAGGAAAGCTAAATCCGGTTCCAATCTACTCGCGTAGTTATGAAACAGAATAATGTCTTGATATGCATGTATTTCCTTCGAAAGAAAGAGCAAAAGAAAGGAGAAGAGGAATAATGAAAAAATAAAGGAAAATTAATCTTGGATTTCTACTACCCTACTTTAATAGATCACAAGCCCCACCATATCCCCCAATCACCATGATCAAGTACACTTTATAAAGGAAGTGGTTTTCAGTTTTCATTTGGAAGCTGGAGTTCATAATTTAGCTTTAGTGCACAGGCATTGGGTGCCAAAATAAAATATAATAAAATAAGACATCACCACATTCGAGAAAAGGTGTATATATTTAATCGTCAGAGAACCAATAAATCTATCGATTGACCTATCAAAACTCTCGATTCTTGAACAAGTATTGGGTAGCTTAGATAACGTCACTGTACAAAAACAAAAACAAAAACAAAGCGTGCATAATATATGGGATGATCACCTTCATACTATGTGAAAATTTCTTCAACAAAACTTGATGATGATGCTCTTCACATTGTCCACTGCGTAGAATCACAAATCCCTTGCGTATCTGCTCTAAGCACATAAGAAAAAATCTGCAGCCTACAGTTACTAAACAATAGATCATCATATGCCATTTAGTCGCTCACAGATGTATATCTACAACATCTAGCCAACTAAGGAACAGAGAGAAGATATGTAACCCCAGTGAGTTTTGAGAAGCAGCACGGTATCTACACTCAATTCTCAAGTTTAACGATAGGTTCGAAGGAGAAAAGGCCATGCAACTTGGTAGTGCCACTAGCTGGTAACCAGTTATGAGGTTCTTACCAACCCAGGAGTCCAGTTTCTCCAATCCAACTTCCCTATGGATTTGTTTCTTAAGTTGACAATTTCTCTTATGTCAAATACCTTCTTTAGACAATTGTGTCCTTGTTTGGTGGACACGGCAGGTTCAGTTTCCACAATGGTTTCCTCCTCTGTTTCTTCGGTTTCATTGACGTGTTGAGGAGCTGCAACTTCCTGGGGTGAAGCCTCAGTGATAATATTTCCAAGAATCTCAACCACCTCACTCATTTTCGGGCGAGACTTTGGATGCTTTACTAAACACCTGTTGGCTAATGATGCAAGTTTTTGAGCCGATCTAATGCAATACTGTCCTTCTAGTCGTGGGTCCAAAATAATGTGGAATTTCTTTGGATCCGAAACATAAGGTTTCACCCATTCCAAAAGCTTCTGTTCACTTCGAGGCAGGTTTCTCTCAACTGCTCGCCTTCCTGTAATGAGTTCATAAAGAACCACACCAAAGCTCCAAACATCACTCTTAGCAGTCAACCTCCCTGTCTGAACATACTCTGGAGCTGCATAACCTACCGTGCCTACAACCTTACAAAAGACTACTGATTATGAGCAGTGTATTCTCTATATCACCAAAATGATCAGAAGATGTGTAATACAAAAGTAAGAATTCAGAAGCAGATGTTTATCGCATTCTAAACGTACACAAAATAATGCCGACAGATGATTTAAGAGAAGGCAGAATTCTGATTCTCTAACCCACATCATCATTTAAATTTTACCAGTGATATTTCTTGGATCTAAAAGAACAAAACTTACCGCTGTTGAAACATGACCTGTTCCTTCAGGAGGTCCCTGTCTTGCCAGTCCAAAGTCTGAAAGTTTTGCATTGTATTCCTCGTCTAGCAGAATATTCGATGTTTTAAAATCGCGAAATATCAGCTGCACCAATTAAAGATCCTTCAAATCACATTGGCTAGCAAGAGATTGAGATTTGAGAAGTAACTTAATTTCTAGGAAATACAGACCGCAATATATGAAATTAGCAGAAGGAATTCTTGTGCCATCAATCATCATGATTCATAAGTATCATTGTAAAACATGCACACGGGAACTCCAAACTATTTGAAGTATCTATCTCATTATGAAGAGTGAGATTAGGAGTTGAATTCTTCTGTGATCAATACCGATCTAACAATAACAGGTAAATGAAACAAAGAAGAGATAACCTGGAAATCCATTTCTTCGTGGAGATACGCCAAGCCACGGGCTGCGTCCTGGGCAATTTGTAATCTTGTAAGCCATGGGAGAACAGATGGCATTCGAGCCAACAGATGGTCTTCTAAGCTTTTATTGTGCATGAGTTCATACACCAGAAGTCGTTGAATCCCTCTTTCATCATCTTCTGCACAATATCCCACTAGCTTCACAAGATTCGGATGCTTGACAACACCCAAAAGGTTCACTTCATTTATCCATTCCTTATGCCCCTGGATACTAGAATGTAAACATGGTTATTTCATTAGACTGCCCCAAAGTATTTGACAATGGAATCGTAAAAGCTCAAGCTCAGCAGGTGAAGCACATAAACAATGCAAAACAAATCATCCTCAATAATTTTCAACATTCTTAATACTAATTATATTACCACTGACCAGGTCCCTAAGAATGTGGCATAAAAAGTCAGCAAAGAAGTTGTATTAGTCAGTTCTAGCACTGGTTAATGAAGTAGACACGAACCCGGTTTCAGGGGACACATTCCCGGAACCCCCTGACTACCCCCTACTATTTGATTTCGTATAGTGACTGTCCATTCAAGCCACCCTCTCTTCCGTCTAGTAAGTGCATTTATGAGTCCAAGACTTCAGTAACAGCTTGAAGATAGGAAGGCACTGTTGTTCAATATCGGATTCACGCGGGCTATCCAAAGCATTAAAGATTGTGGTGTCCTTCTCAAGATGGTTGCACTCAAGTTTTCATAACAACCACCTTAAGTGAAGCGGCTTCTTCAAACCAGAGCAGAGGGAAAGCAATGGGACAATATGCTTGTTCTCATTGTAGGATTGTACGGAAACATGTTGGAAATCGAGTATCTATACAAATCTCTCCAATCAACAAAAGAAAACAAACGGAAAGACATAGAAATGTGTCTTGTCTTTTTTCTTTTTTTTTCTATGTTTTGGTTGCTGGATTGAACAGTTAGGAGACAAAATTTTTGACACAAAACTTCGTATTATGACCATCAACACTGCCAAACGCATTTTTCGTTTCAGTTATAATGAATGAAAAGAAGATTGAGCTTCAGTCGACATTTTCACGATCATTCACATATGAAATCAAAACAAACGAATAAAAAAAAAGGAAAGAAGAAAATCAAAGCAAAAGTGAAAAGAGAATCATGCCTGGAATCCGCTGCGATTCAACTGTTTGATAGCGACGTCAATCTTGGAACCAAGGTCGTCGGCGCCGGGAACCCTAAGATGGCCTCGGTAGACGCAGCCGAAGCCTCCCTCGCCGATGAGCAAGGCTCTGCTGAATCCTCTGGTGGCCGATTTGAGCTCCGAGAAGGTCAAGACCCTCAGATCATTGGCTCGGCGTTGGCTCAGGAAGTCGAAGAAGGCGACCGAGTCGGACAGGTCTCTGGAGTCCGAGTCGAACTCGGAGCGCCTCGTGCTGTCAACGCTGCTGGAGGCCACACTCAGCGACCGGGCCCACGACAGCTTCGACGCCCGCGAAACGACGCCGTCCTCGTCGTCACGCTCCCGCCTCTCGCCGCTCGTGAAGTGGAAGCACTTCATAATAATAATAATAATAATAATAATAATAATAATAATGCGACAGAGAAGAGAAGTTCAACGAATTGCAGAGAGAGAGAGAGAGAGAGGAGAGAGAGTCAAAGGGGCGTTCTGGTTAAAACAGCTTTGGATCAACTAACAACTACAACGTTTGTCGATTTGTTTATCTATTTATAAATACGTTTTTGAAAAATCAAATAGTAGTCAGGCAGCCGGCGTTTTTATCGTATTGTTGCGAAAAATCAATACACAACAGAAGATTCCAGCACTGTTTTGCTTTTTTCTTTCTTTTTCTTTTGTTTTTTGATTCTCTCTTTTTTTTTTTTGGTTTGTTTATTTGATTGTCGTTTTTTGGGGCAGAGGTGGACACTGGACAGTGTAAGAAGGGGATCACGAGGGAGAGCAGAGAGTAAGGTGCCGAATATTGGCCCGGCTGATCTAAAGAAGTTTGAAAATATATTTATTTACAAAATTACACCATATGACAAATTCTAGATAGTGAAGTTAAATATATCATTTGTTTTAATATATTTTAAGAATATTAAAAATTACATATTAATTATTAATTTTAATGGTAATCATCTTTTAAGGTAGTAATTATTTTAACTACAGATTTTTTTATTTCTATTTTAAATTATTTCTATATTTGAATATGACACTATATTTCTTTCTCAAAAAAAAAAAAGAATATGACACTTTCCTTAAAAAAAAATATGACACTATATTAAAATATGCATTCATATAAATATAATTTATAATGATCAGACTTAAAAGAAAAGGTGTAAATTGTAATTAAATGCAATTATCTCCGGTTTAGTTTATATGAGCAAGAGTCATTAATTTACCATTTAAAGATCTATATTTTATTTTCAAAAAAAAAATCTATATTTCATACTCCATCGATTGAGAAAAGCAACCTCACCGAATTTCCCTTTACAAACAGGGAAGTCTGATCAAAATTTGACTGAAAAAAGGCTACACTGCAAAGAAACCTTTTAGCCTTTTTTTTTTTTTTTTTTTTTTTTCAACACAATAGCATATTCCCTTCTATTGATCACACGGGTTAGAATAGTAATTTGGTATATTCTGGGGGCCACTTTTACTGTTTAGGCAAAAGAAAGTGAAACTGCGGAAGTGCTTTAGGTAGCAGGGAAGAAAAAAGAAAAAAAGAAAAAAAGAAAAAAAGAAAGTGGAAGGAGCGGGGCAGAGTTTTCAGTTTTCCGTGATTGGGCAATTTGTTTGGTCACATTAAACTTATATCTACCCACGTCGTTGTAATTGATCAAGTCAATTTCTAGAATTGGTACTATAGTTTTCTCTTTTGCATAAAGAAACGTGTTTCTTCCCCTTCTCAATAAGCTCGAAGTGTTTTCTACATAAGAAATGAATTTGTGGCCCTCTTATTGACCGTAAGGTCCCGCATGGTCCGTTACCGCGTAACTCTTTGAATTCTTTAATAAGTTAAATATAAAGTAGTATTTTTTATTTTTTATTTTTTGCTTGAAATATAAAGTAGTATTTTTGATAAGCTGTCATTTTCTGCCATAAAAAATGTACCATGTTGATCATTTGAGGACATGCTGGTCAACCACTAATACATACTGTTGACGGTCGAATTTCGTCAACAGGATTACGTCGAATTATCTCTTGGTATTCTGTTGAGTTACCGGCCCGAAATTGTTTATATATTTGGTGTAATACTGCTAAAGTGCTTTTGATGGCTTGATAATTGTAGAAGTGTGGAAGTAATGCCTGAATGAATATAAAAGACACTCAAGTTATATAGTGGTTCACTCTGTTAATCTATAGCTATTGTGTATTGTATATCTTTTTTCTCTATTATTATTACATGAAAAGGATCCCCCCCCCCCCCCATTCTTTGGGACTCTGCCACTTTTATAGCCCAACGATTACTTCGTGGGCGGTTATTCTTTGTAGGCATATCCACTCGAGTGGCCTACTACTCTATGGGCCTAGATCATAGCCTGTCAACACCTTTTACACTATTCACTCATCCAATTTGTCCCCTATTACGGTTTTATAGATCCTGTAATCCTCAACCGTCCATTACAGGCGGTTTTGGGGACTCATAATTAATCCCTGCGCTACTGACATCTTTTGAACCATAACCTGTACTCTGCCCTTGACGTCTATGCTAGGGAACTAGGCTCTTCGCTTGACTGACTCTTGTGGAGCTTCCAATGCACAAGTCATACAGGTCTCGACGGTCTTGAGTAGTCAACGGTCTAAGGATTTATCCGTACGTTTGGCCTTTCTAATCATTCAGAAGGAAAACAAGGCCCAAACGTCGACTACTATTTGTTGTGACAAACATAAAGTCACATGGAGCTATCGCCGTCCCACGTGTTAGCACACAATTTCCCATATAACACACATATATATATATATATATATTTATGGTACTTATATACTCACACATAAATACATATATATATATATATATATATCAGCTAACATGAACCATGGTTGTCTAGACTTTTCTTTAAACAAAATCCAGTTACAAAACTTGTTTTTTTTTTTTGTCATGAATTTAAAGTCTGAGGAGGGAGAGATCAACTTCCATATATCCCCGTAAGAATTATCATAAACTCCTATTCACTAATAGGAATGTTTATTGAAACTATATTTGTATCATAAACATTTAATCAAAGATTTTCAATTATAATTCTAGATTCGAAAAAAGTTTCTGTATGTTTGATTTGGGAATTGGGAAAGACAAAATTAGAGGAACATAAATTAATGTAGTTGTACGCGGGTGATGCGGCCGGCAGGCTTATTCCTCGTATTCATCTAAATAAATTAATTTGAATAATTGAGACTTTGTAGCGGCCAATTACACACACACACACATATACACATATCCGCCTTAATGTGTAATTTAAATCATTTTCGAAAGAGGCTTGTGATTCACACTCATATGCAAGTTAATATTTATTTCCAATATATATATATATATATATATATATATCATGAGAGCGACTTAGATTGTGCGGAAAGACAAATTCAAGAAACACAAGGATTTGTTGCAAATCATTTCGGACAAAACATATTCATAATAAGCATCAACAATTCACATGAGTTGTCTGTACAAAGCAAACAATATGAACAAAGATGGTAGTTTGTTTTAAGTAGAAAACAAGATTTACAGCAACCTTATTTCATGTACTCTTTTCCCTCCTCTAGAAGCAACAATCCAACCCCATGATGATTCATGACGTAAAAAGAGCATGGAATTGCGCCTTAGTGTTTATCTTTAAGAGGTTATTCATCAAATTCGAATTGCAACTAATGAAATATAAGTTACAGGATGAAAATGTACGGTATAATTTCACCTGAAAAACTTATGTTCGCTGAAACAGTTTCGTATATATAAATTAATGTTATAAACTTTATTGACAAAAATGCAATATTTGTTATATTATACGTCTACTTGAATTGCATTGCTTATAGCCGAAAATGCTATCACAGAATATGTATTTTACAACTTTAAAAAATAAAATGTTTGAATTTAGGATCAACTTCACTTGTGGCCTGATAATTTTAAAATCATGCTCGTTTTATCTTTTAAATTTTAAAAAATCTCAATTGAATTTTAAATTAGTCACACTACAACAATAAATGCCATTTGCGACGACACTTTTTTACGACGACATTTGTCGTCACAAATAATACAATATTTGTGACGACATGTCGTCGTAATTACTCCCCGTTAAATAAAATAATTATGTCGTCGTAAATAACTTAAATTTCGTCGCAAATAATTTAAATGTCGTCGCAAATAATTTTGGAGCGCAAATTTCAATGGCGCGGATTTTTGCCACCAAGGTAATTCATTTTTGCGACGACATTTGTCGTCACAAATAATTTCATGTTATTTGCGACGACATTTGCTCTTTGTCATCGCAAATAATCTTTTTAAGATTTCACCAAAAACTAAAAACAGGAAAAATGATTATTTGCGACGACTTAAAAATTATTTGCGACGACATAATGTTGTTGCAAATAAGTCTGATCTAATATACCCTATCTTATTCTTCTTCATTTTCCCCCGACATTTTCTCTCTCTCCTGCAAAATCTCTCTCTCTCTCTGCGTCCTCTTCCCGTCGCTGCCGCCGCCGGCCCTCTTCTCTCTCTCTCTCTCTCTTCCGATCCCTTCTCTCTTCTTTCCTTTTCTAGCAGCCGCCAGCCCTCCCGCCGCCCTACCCCCGCCAAGACTGCTCAACTCACCCAGCCCTACCGCGACCACGCCAACGAGGGCTCGCTTTCCATCTTCACCAAGTTCTCTCCCATGGCCGATCCCTCCTTCCAGCCCGGCCGCGTCGTCGACTGAGGCCTTAGGTAAATGATGACTTCATCCTTAGCTGTTTTTTTTAATGAGTCAATTTTATGAAAAAAATTGAATTTTGATTTCGGTTGATTGGAGTGAATTAATGGAGTATAACGTGCTTCTGAGGAGGCACTTGCCCGCGCGCGCGCGGGGTGGCACTGGTGCGCGCTCACTGTCGCGCGCGCGCGCGTGCATGGGCACGCGCGCTTGGGGCCACGGGCGCGCGTGCAGGGAGGCACTGGCGCGTGCGCAGGGGGGCACTGGTGCGCAGGGGGGGGGGGTTTAAAAATTATAAAAAAAAATTAATTTTGGTGTTTTTGCAACGACTTTTTTAGACTTGTCGTTGCAAAAAACTAAGCTTATTTGCGACGACAATTTGAAATATCGTCGCAAAAAATGGATCATATCACGAGAAATTTGCAACGACGTATTAGCGACGATTGTCGTCGCAAATAATTTATTTGCGACGAATTATTTACGACAACAATTTACGACGACTTGTCATAGCAAAAAATGTTATTTGCGACGACATTCATTTTTTTGCGACGACTTTTTGTCGTCGCAAAAACTCCTTTTTCTTGTAGTGTCAAACTTAATCACTTCTATTATAATTTTTCTTAAAAATTGGCTTAAAAGGGAGAATTACCCCCACTTAAATAAATTTAGAGTTTATGTTGAAAACAAATAGGAAAAAAACCACATGACCTCACTTAATCTTTCAGTCTGTTTTTACCATAAATTTTAACAAAAAAGGTTAAGTGAGACTAATTTAAAATTAAAGAGATAAAGTGAGAGTTTTCAAGATAAAAATAAAGTGAAAAATGACCTTAGAATTAGGGGTGCATATTATGCAAATAAAAAAATAATTTTTCACATAGGAAAAGAAAGAGCTTCGTAGCTAATAGCTTCCATATATCCGCAGACATATAGGTTCCGTTTTTTTCGCTGATTCGAGTTTAGAATTCAAGTTTTATTACAGTAAAAAGTTCTCAGAAACAGTCACATCTAACTTTTTTACTACAATAAAAAGCTCTCACATAACA